GCTAGATACGAAAACTAAGAAATGCACAAGAAAGAGTACAAATTTCTCATTTTACTTTGTGTCCGGTCGAAATATAAAAATGCTATGACATTGTATAGACATATTAACTGATTAAATGCTTTACAATTGCAGGAAGATGACCCAGTCGTCCAGCGCAAAGCATTGTTCGAGCTGAAGCGTATCTACAGAGAGGCAACACAGCTGAGAAACCTGAAGAACAAAGAGCGCAGAAGACGACAAGCCAAAATCACAAAAAGCAAAAGTCTTAATAGATCTTGATCATAATTTAAAAGAATGGTGGAATATCAGTGTTATTTATTCTATTTATGAAGTTTACTGTACGTATACACACATTGTGCACAACAGATAATTGTTTAAACGTACATTATTTATTTGTTCTTATTTATTTGAAAAAGCACTGTAAACCATTTGCTAGTAACATAGCAAAATTTGTAAGGTCTGTGACTGAATAAAATCCTTTTTAATAATGTTTGTGCTGATGTAAGTGACTTTATAAGATGCCAGTCTATTGTTATATCTACGTTACAACATGTCTCTATTCAGAGACTGTGACATAGATATGTCTCCCATCTTCCCCCAGCATTTGAAACTCTTTGTCATCTGTCACATTAGCATAAATTTGGCTTAGCCCACACACTGAATGTCTCATAAAGTGCCAATGCCACCCATAACTAACAGCAACCATCACTGCCACCATCACATTTCTCATGTTTGAAATCAAACACCAAAGTTACTCACAGAGCCCTGAGAAAAAGTCGATGAGAAGTGGCCTCAAAACAAATTGGGCACTTATGTCACACTTGAAAGTGTATCATTGTCACTGCATTAGATAACAAACATGTAAATATACCAGCTAGGTGGTTATATTAACAGAGCACAATCCATTCCTACGCTACTTTATTTATCTTTAAAAGTCTGTCAAGTGACCCAACTGTGAAATATAATACTGTTTATACAATCGTATACAATCCTTACGGGAATTCCAGGCAAGAAAGAAAAATGTAATTGAACAGGTTTGGCCTTATCTGGTAATGTAGGTGAGGGTAGCCTATCACAACGCAATGTAATATAGCAACTATACACACCACAACAAATTAGCTCATATAAGGTTTCGCTTTGACTTCCTCAAAAAAAGTGAAGTTGGAAATGTATACTTATTGTTTGACTTCCAGGAAAAATGTGCCCCTATCAAGTCGAGGAGGGTGGAGAGGCTTTTTACTAACACTGTTCAAGCTAACAATTAGCATGCAAAACAAATTCAGCAGTGATTTTTTTAAAGCATTGTGAATTTCCTTGCTGCTCCAAGCTAGTTTATACTAGTTTGTTCTGATTTGGTGCTGATCTAAATGCAGTCCACTGGCAAAACATGTGAAGCTGGTGGACCAGCATGGTCTTTTTGGGGTAGCTGGTTGATCAGTCTTATTATGCCCATTGGAAACAACAGCATCACATGCAGGGGACCAGCAACAACTGTGTAAGAAGAAAAATGATGATGCAACTGTTATTTCTCAGCAAAGGCATTTTAACTGCTGAAGATGCATTAACCACAAGCCAGCAAAATAGAGAAAGAGAGTACACATAACCTGCTTATGCTCACCCTTGTACAGCATCCATGCTTTCCTGCTGGCAACAGGATTTGTGAGGATTCTTGAAGTTTTAGAAAACCTTATGGATCTAAGCACGAGTAATTTTTTTTTTGCCTTTTGCTTTAAGAGTCATGAAACTAAACATGCCAGCTCTCGCCACAGTTTCGAAAAAGATGCAAAGAGCACTGTCTGCGGTCCAGACAGCTTTACTTTGCTTTAATGGGGTTAACAGTATCAAAGGTTCTCACAGATTTGCAAAACAACATGCATTATATTGTACAATGTCATTTCCATTCTTTTAATTTAATTAAATAAATCCTGAACCATTTGCATTTGTACTCTTGAAGAACTATGAAGCAGTACAAAGCAGTCTGAAGAGTGTGTTGCGGCATTAATGACAGACTTTTTCATTTAAAGACAAAGGCATAGTTTTTTTCAGTAAACCACTGTTTAACAAAAAAGAAGTTACATTTTTTTGTTTTTTTCCCCATGCTGTACTGAAAACGTATTGAACCGTGACTTAAAAAAACATATTGAACCATGACTTTTTTGTGAACTGTTTTATGTACTGTATATACAATAGAATATGCTATTTTTGTGATGTTAATTAAAAATATAAGTGGTATGACCTGTTAATAAACTATTACAGTAAGAACAGATCATTGTAATGCAATGTCAGTGGGCATTCGCCCAACATGGAACATGGAAAAAAAAAAGACAAGGAAGTCATCATGTCTACACAGAGCATTACTGTTTTGAATGTACACTGGAAAGCAAACATTACAAATCTATTTATGTTATTTTCGGAAGCTGAATTATATTAGAACTAGAACCAGACATTCATTTACTGGCACTGGTGTTACACGACACAAACATCATTTGACCTGATGCATGGCGCTCGCGTCCACTGTAGACAGGGTGTGAACATAAACCTACAAACTTACCCATAGAAATCGTTTGTTGCATAGAAATGAAATGTTGCACAGAAATGATAGAAAGTCTGTTGCTGTATAACACTGTGAAGAAGCTATGCAACACCTTTGTATTTTAGCACCATGTAAACAAACATGTGCAACCCTTGCTTCTGTATATCAGTTCAGCGGTTGCAGGGTCTGTTTTGGAAAAGTAGAAGTAGAGAGGGAAAAGTAGAAATAGAAGTTTTTACGATCCTATAAAAATGAATGAAATTGAATTGTATGCCTTTTAGTCCATGTTTTAGCTCATGTATATGTTGGTGTACTCCTAAACGTCAGCTAAATTCAGTTTTAGTCAGTTTAAATACACATTTACCACAAAGCAATATGGATGAGTCATCCTGCACTACACATCCTGCACTTTTGTCCAATCAAATGCTAGAATGATAATGTCCCGCCCTCTAATACCACATGCATCTGACTAGCAAGTAGCAAATCATGTTGACTGGGATGTAACTAAACCCAGGGTGCCTTGTATTATAATGTAGGTATGCTTTTTATATAGCCCAATATATAACAATAAAGATGAGATTCCTTTCATTTTTAAACAGCTCAGACTGCTTCCTGTTTACACTGACCTACATTTCAAAGAAACAGGGTAAAGGGCTGATGAAGTGAGGATAAGACAAAGCACTATGAATCTGGAAATCCCCCTTACCCCTACCCAACTCTATTCCCCCTTTGTCTCTTTTCATTTAATGCTGAGCACATGACAGCAGAAGCTGGAAATTCCTTGGGTGTGGGGATTGCACAGGTGCACATCTTACTATGTGTTGCTGTTTGGAAATTTATTTGTAAGGGCGAACAGACACATAATCAAAGGTATAGATGGAATTTGCTGTGTAAAATGAGGGCATTTAACTTAAAAATAAATAAAGAGGAGATTTGTCAATGATTCATTTGGTCAAGAAGATTGATACATTTGCCCATTAACAAGTGAGCATACTTGCATCACTGTAGAATTGTTGGCATTTTACTGAAACATCATGATCATTTCCACTATAATGTAATTTTCAATGCATTTCAGTAGAATATGTGGTGGACAAATTGATTTTTATTTTTACATTTTTGAATAAAATAGCTGATGTCTTTGTCTTGCTAAGGCACTTAATTTGAAATTATTCCAATTTTACCTTGATTTCTTTATTGTGTTTTTATACATTATATCTCATATTTCATCTCAAGCTTTTTCAACACAACAAATTTCAATAGAATATGTGGTGGAAATGTTGCTGGCATTTTTTTATTATTATTATTATTATTATTATTGTTATTTATTTTTTTTTAATAAAAGAGCTGATGTCTTTGTCTTGCTAAGGCACTTGATTTGAATTAGATTTTTCATTCTGTTCTTCTACATTATATCTCATATTTCATCTCAAGCATTTCTTTTGATACAAATATGGCAAAATTGTTGGTTGTGAAATGGCACTATTGAGGGAAGTCTTAAATTGTGTACATTTTAATGACATCTAATAAACATTGAAATGATTTATGATTATGGTAAATGGTAAAACACTAAATCGATAATCGAGACATAAAAGGCATTGTACTATATAAAAGTAAATAAAGGCACGATAAAGAATAGTTTCTGACAGATTTAACTGAAAACGGAGAAGAGAAAGTGTGCATCTCTTTAAATAAAACCTACTCCTGGTTAATAAAAGTCCCTTAAGTTATAACGTGACAAGCTAATATAGACTGCCACGTTTGAAGCTACTGACCTCAAAAAACAAAAAGAGAATGAGATGCGATGCGATGAGATATTGCAAAGTGGCCTACATTTCAAATCCCCCATCAGTTTCCATTAGTGACCCCTTATCACCTTATCAGCTGATCAATCGTCTAGTTTCCATTTGATCACTCTATTCTAGCCTTAGTCTAGTCTTAAACCTGCAAATACAATATTTCATACTTTCTTACTATCTTTTGTACAAATATAATTCATAATGCCATTTATGTTGCCCTTAATGAACTTTCCTTGACCAAGACTGTGGTTTGCGTAGAAATTTTGAATCTGGGACATCCTCGAGCCGCATAAATGTCATGACCTCATTATAGAGTTGTAATACAATTTTGTGGTGACTTTCTTTTATTTAAGCTCCCTCCAAGTAGCATGAAGCAGACAGAAAACTTTGCATTCTGCAGTGGCAATCTGAGCCCAGACACGATCCCCATTGGGTACACCAGCCAACGTGGATTACATTACAGTTCAGGAGTCTGACATCTTCACCTGTCTTGATCTCAACTGGAAAGTCAGAAACAAAGAGAAAGGACTTTGCTGACGTCACCAGGAAACTAGAATAAATACAAAGGTGAGGACCAGAGCGAAGGCAAAAAGAAGGAAGAACGGAATGAATCAGGTGTATCAGCAGGACCTGCATTCACGTACATTCATTTAGTCACTCTGGAACTGAATATGGCCAGTGCTTTGCAGTATTGCTTTCTGATCCTGATTTTCGGCATTCCAATGCACGAATGTGCGGCAGTACTCCTAAATGGCAGCTGTGTACCTGTGGAACCCTGTTTTGACCTGAGTGTGATGGCTAATATAGCCGAGCGTGTCAGCAAAGACGTGGTGAGTATTCTGATCCTACTATCAGCATTGTGTTAGAACTCAAATCACCCATTACTCACATGCATGCACTTGTTACAAAATTAAGCCATACAAAGTAAGCTTGATATGCCTGTGGGAATAATCTTGCGAGGAAACATCAGGTGTTCATGTGCAGAATCAGTTTACTAGCATGCTTTAAGAAAATGCCCTGGAGACTTTGAATATTTCAATTGGTGACGGTTTGAATTATCCTCTCAGGTAGCTGCGGATGGTGAGAAGATCCTCCTGAAGCACAGCTCCTTTGACAAAATTCGGAAAAAGGTAAGATGCATTGTCCGATTTCATATTATGAGTTATCGCATTATCATATCATATCATATCATATCATATCATATCATATCATATCATATCATATCATATCATATCATATCATATCATATCATATCATATCATATCATATCATATCATATCATATCATATCAGTTATTCATTGGTGCATAAAGCTAGTTACTCCAGTTACTGCATTACAAAATCCAATACATTTGAAAGTAATATGAATGTAATGAAATAAATTGGGGGTTCTGTTATGAGGCGGGGCTCAGTGAGGTCTTATATGGTAGAGCCAGCTAATTGGGCATGGGCAAACCCATAAAAGAAGCCCAACCCATAAAAATGTTGTCTTGGACCTCGTTAATTTTAGCAACAACCTAAAAAAATCTATTAAAAAATCTGATTTCTATGTCATATGTCACGTATTTTAGACTTCACTCTCAGAAAAAAAGTTACTATAGCCACGTGCATACCCGCATGTCTCAGTACAGAAATATGATCAAGATGTACCTGTGGAAATTTTTTGTTGACGTACTACAATGTCATCTATATTTGGCATCAGGTTTTACAAATTAATTGTTTTTATTCATCAGAAAAATCTTCACAGCTGTGTCCTACAGAAGATCATCAATCTATTTCAAAATGTTCTTGAAAAGACAAAGAAGAATGACGTCCACAACAAGGAAGAATTAAACCATCATGTTGAGCTTATACACATTATGGATCAACTCAGAAACTGTGTGTATAAGGTCAGCATATTCCATTTTCAGAATACATATAATAAACTTTGTCATGTTACATCATCATGTCTTTGAGTGATGTAATTATATCACATATAAAAGGGAAAATACAAAACCGGAAAGACCAGCAATGGCCTCTTTTTCACTAATGTATCTTCCATCTAAGTTTAGCTAGACAAGCACTAACCAAATCCAGATCATGCTGGTCTTTTCAGCAGGGTACTGCCTTGTATGTTAACAATATAGCAACATTTTCACTTAAACAGGACCCAAAATGGATTGGTTTCTTAACTAAAGGTCATTTCTTACGCGTAGGTTGTTTTCTTAGGCTGCTTGAAACAACTGACAAAATTCTTTACTACCACTTCTTTGTTTCAGACAAAAAATAGATGTAAAAACCTATACAAGATGTCTGATATAACCACAACTTCCTCTCCAATGGTAAATATTCTTCTACATATTTCCAGTATATATTAAATATGAATAAATAATAGTACATTTTACTTTCATCTAGATTTCGGAGAAACACATGAACCCAAATCAGCTTGCTGTCTTACAGCTACAAAAACTGAAGTCTGCCAGTAAGAGGGTAAGAATGAGTTTTGAACTATTGAAAAACTGATTAAACCTGTTTTTGTATGTTTCTTATTAACTCTTTATCTTCATTGGTCTTACAGCTCAATGATGTGCAAATCCAGGAGGGGGTTATGGATGAGCTGAAAACCCTCCATCTCTACATGCAGGGAAAAGGCTTCCGGAAAAATACACAAATGACTAAGGAGAAGCATGGCGTTTCATGAATTCTGGCCTACAATGTGTTATATCAATTTTCTGCCTGATCACTTTAAGACGTGCCAGTTTAAGCAGGGACAGAATAACAAGCTATCTCCTCTAAATGAGACCAAACTTATTTTCCTGACCTGTTGTTTCTAATAAGGTATTTTAGTTGTTCGTGCTTTTAGTGCAAATGTCTTTTTTGCTTTTTTAAGTAATGAGTATTTAAACAGTATATGCATATTGCTTATGTACTTTCGGTGAAAGATTGAGTGTACTGCAGTAAACGCAGGTGAGAAAATAGACAAGATATAGATAATTTTGTAAATGTAAACATGAAATACATGTTTTTCCTTTGTTTTCTATTGCATTAATTTGTCTGCTCAGTAAAACATTTTTATATCTGGCTCTGTGTGTTTGCTTAAGTGTGTTTGTATATGCAAAAACCATATTTTTGTCTGAAGTCTATCATTTAGAAGTGTCGAGAATTTGTCTGCTCAAATTTGAATTCTATCCACAATTTTTTTTTTTTTGCAAGACATTGCTAATATTCATTAGGAAATTCTCAAGTTGCTGGATTACATTAATTAAACAAAGTGTAAAAAAGTTGCGCACATCCCACAAACCCACACCCACAGAGTGAGTGTACATTTGTATTTTTGCTATGGATTACATTCATTCTCATAAACATTTTTTGTCTTTTTCTACCCCACTGTAGAGCTATTTATTTATTTATTTACCTACACATCTCTATACTAACAACTACACTAACTACATAACTCTGCTGTAAGGCCACCAGAAGTGCAGTTCATAGATGTGCATGAGTGAGATGCAGGCATGCATAAATCTATTGCATGTTAAATGCAAACAATGAATGTGATACGCAATAGAACACTGCATAGTGATGATGAGATCAGCATTTCGCTAAACCCAAAAACCATATTTAATCTTTCTCTTTTGTAATTTTGTTTGTGCCTATTTTGAGGATGGGGGCACGTGGTGCAACCTGCATGCTGGCATAAATTAACATACCATGGAGTTGCAGGATGCACAACTTCTGACATCGACATACAAAAAATATGGACATATTTGCATGTCTTTTAAGAGTTGATGTGCTTATTTAATTTGCTATTCTATATATGCACAATTATATTGCATTTTATAACCTGCATTTTAGCATTGTTTTTCCCCTTTGTTTAGAATCATGACCCACCAACTGTGAATAACTGTTACATATTATATATTTAGTTAGAAGGTTAGACTTTTTTAGATGTAACAAATGCTATAGTAGTGATATGCTTGTGCATGTTAATTAAGTTCCTTTAATGATTCGATTGATCATGGTGCCATTTTCATTTCATTATTTGTAAAGACACTCAATTTGATTGGAAATAAAGGATTGAATTGAAAAGCGAAACTTTAAATACACACCATGACCAAGCAGGATATCACTGCTGCTGAGCTTCAAAACAACAGTGACTTCTTAGGGAGTTGAAAGCTTCGCAGATCTTGATGAGATCTCATTTCAATAATCCTGAAAAACAGCCAGAGATACGCTAGAAACAGCAGTGCCCACAGCGGAAACTGTGGCGGGTTGAAAAAAGTTGTGATTGTAAAGAAAAGAAAGAAGATAATGAATGAATGAATGAAGGCACTTTTGAACCTTTGATCATCTTCTAGAACTGAAAAGATTATTAAACACGTCATTACATTTCTACTTCATGCATAAGTGCAACAGCTCTGCCTCGTGGCATAAAGTGATGTCACTGAGAAACCCCCAGTCTCCCATCATTTCTGGTAAGTGGCTGCGGCAGCTTACGATAAGCAGAGCAGAGTTGACCACAGACTCAGCCTTCTACTGAAGAGAGAGAGAGAGAGAGAGAGAACTGAGACAGAGGCCTAGGGAAGATGCACAGCGACAGCCTGAAGAATTTAATGAGAATCAATTAAGGTACTTTTCGCAGGAAAACGTCACTTGTTGGCTTCTTGAAAGTGACAAATTAAAAGAAATGAAATAAAACCTGATAGTGAGACCATGTTTCTATTTCCTATAATTGTTGGATCTCCTTTCACCTGTTGCAGCTCGTGTGACTTCAGGGTAAATACTTCTACATGACCTGATCATCAACCCTTTGAAAACAAGAGCACTATACTGTCAGCAAATTATTTGTCATTAGCCGTTCAAATTGAAAATAAAAGTATATCTATTTATATGTGTGTATACGAGTGGGTGTTTGTCAGCACTTTCGTTCTCACTCAGGTCCTGCTCTGCATCCAAAATGCACCGTGAGCATCTCTGCACCAAACGTTAATGACATCAGCTTTTAGAAGCTTCTTCCTTGAATAATTGAGCATTAAAGCTTATGTGGAATCAGCAATGAGGTAGAGGAAAAATATCAACAAATTATTTTGCAAAATCAAAGTTCCAGGTAGTTTTTAAAATGCTAATTAGTTAGCACTTTCCAAGAATAGGGTATGCTTTGTATCTGATTACTTCCGCTAAAGCAAATTCTTTGTAGCAAGAAATATTGGGTATGTTACATACACTATTACCAGGTGTTGACCTTCTAGACTATACCTAAAAATTAAAATGATATATTGACAATATAATTAAATGAATATCTACAGTATCTAAAGGAAAGGAAATTACAACAGTATACAGTAATGATCTGTGAAAGATGAGAGAGAATGGATCAGGTTGGAATAAAGTCACGACTCTAGTTACCTAGATCATGAACCTTTGAAGTTCATGCTTGTCACGGTTCTCCTCACCGCATTACCCTCCGAAATCGAAGTTCACCCACCTGTCATAGAAATTTACTGCTGCTTAAAGTTTCAGGGAGAATATTCAGGGACTGGCACATTGTGTAGGCTGAGTATATCTGAAGGCTCCACTGTCATACATTGGCTTCCTGAAAATAAGGCCCTCATGCTATGTATGCATTGAAACGGGAGCATGCCTATGTTTCTAGAGTCCTATATTCCCCAGATTTTTATGCCACATAAAAAAGGTTCAACTGAACAACACAGACAGAGAATCCTTTATTAATTCACTTGATGTTGAAGGTAGACTTTGTGGGGGACTGTAATGAAATTATTTGGGAAGTTGTTAGAGAAATAGATGTTCAGCAGTTATCCAACCATTTTACATGGCTTTCTGGAATACTTGGTTGTGATTGGTCAATCAGGACATTCCGAGGGATGTTATTCCCCGATAACAATTGGTAAAACTAAAAACACAAGCTTATCTAGGTATAGGAGTCATCTTGACCATTAGTAATTTTATGTTTAATGTATCACTCTGCTGTCGCTGATCAATGTTTCGTGTCTAATTATTTACTTTTGTGGCAAGCATCCGTGTAATAAGTGGGGTAGTGTACATCCAAGCAGTTGTTATCGCAAAATAAAGCCCTTCGCATAAATTATCCATTGAATCCTCGGGTGATTAAACCTTATAGCCTAGTGAACATAATCTTGTGTTCCTATAAATCTAGGAAACACAGGACCTGGTAACATAGGAATGAACTCTGTGCAATGGGCCCAGAATGGACGTGAACCATTAATGTACAATTTTGACGTTCAAACACACTTCATTCAATAAAACTAGACTGCCGTCGACTTATATAGTTATATCGGAAGCAAGGTACAAAGTCGTTTAAAGATAAAGATCAGAAACTCAAATAGAAAATTATATCGATGCATATCGTGAAACCAAAACAGACACAAAGGAGCTGACACATCCTCTTTCAGATAAATTTACAAGACTGTGTCAAGCTTCATGCTAGGGTGTCACTAAGCAATTTCTAAAGTGTTCTGGATGGTTGTTTGGCTGTTGAAAAGGTGTTGTTGAGGGAAACAACATCAAATACTGAAACATCTCACATCAGTTAGCGGTATCACAAATTATCATTGGCCATGCTACAATCCTACATTTAGTTTATATGTTAATACCCTGTTCTCTGGATACATTGTGCTCCTTTGTAGATGTTTGTGCATTGCTAAGCATAAACTCAACCTATATCTTAGCCCTGCAGCAGTTCATTTGCAAATAGAAAAGGGCAGAAGCAATGTAGTTTCCATGAGCTGTCTTTTCAGAACGTGTCACATTTCCTGTGCATGCTCAACTGCTCTGCATGCTGCGTGGTTGTAAACATGTAGGAGTGAAGACCAACAAACAGAAACACTCTGACAAAATTAATATTTGTGCAGTCTACTGTTCAACGTATTGTATCGAAAGTTAGTCAGTGGCTTCAGCGGAGTAAAATAGAGAATGAGTGCCATTTGTCCATTCAAAGAGCAAAATAACACACTGATGCTTCAGGACTGTCCCTAACCTGAATGGGATAATCCTACAATCATTTCTGTTCCATAGGTGAGAAGGTCAAATTAAGAAAATGTGATTGGAAAATACGGATGAGTCAGGCTCCACCCACCCACACACACACATGCTCTCTCACACACGTTGCCTCATGGACCACGAGTATGAACATCTGGCCTATATTGAGTGGCCTTTTTGCTACTTTAAATATTTCATTGAACTTCTATATGCACAATATACTGTATGTCTACAAAGCTATATGCACTATACATTTTAAACATGTAATTTTAGAAATTTTAATACAAATACACTATAAACAATATGAAGTTTACTAGGATAAGGGATTCGTTCAGAGAAATTACAGAATTACTGACTCAAAGTATATGAAAGCCCTTCTAACTTTAATTGATAATGCTTTTAAAACTGTGCCAGACACAAATTCCAGATTCAAAACTTGCATCTGGATGCACACAACAATAACTGTATAGCCTACTTGAAGCAACAACACTGCCACCACTCTTTAACACCACATAGCTACAGAAAACATCAGGGATGGAAAATATTACTCAGAATTAATGAGTATGACTGTGGTCATTCTTTGAAGACATCGTTTTTTTTCTGTTTGTGGTTGGTCTGGACTACCTTGAGGTTAAGGTTTATAAAAAATATTCATGAGGTGTAACAATAAGCCTTAGCAAGACCTTAGTGTCACTAGGCCATGGTTTAGTTGAAACAAGGATACTGAGCTGAGGAGGGGCTGAGGGTATTTCCAAAAACACACTTTTCTCCTCAGTAAGGGCT